AGGCCAAGAGCCTGCTTTTTAGGGTAGACTAAAGGCAGAAAGAAATGTCTTATAGTGTTAAACCTTTTATAGTAGAACCCCCTTTTAAAGGAAACTATATTTCTTAAAGTGTGAATTCTAGTGGGAATTAGAGAAACAGAGAGATCAAGGATGCTGCAAAAGTTTATACGAACTACTGGAAGACCGCCTCATCGCTTACTTACATGAAGGAGTGTATAAAAGAAGCAAGCTTGAAAGAGAAAACTGGACGTTTGTTTTTTAATACATCAGGGTAATTTTGCCTTTAGACATAAGTGGAAACGGTGAACAAGTAGTTTGCTATACCCTCTGGAGATCAAACTGGAGTTGTCACCATAGAAAGGGTACTTAAGACCTAAGACTAGATCAGTCCACCTAAGAACTTAGTATGTGGCTGGAAGAAGAAGTCTGAGGACCAAGTCCTGAGCCACACATACATTTGGAGGTTGAGACATGAAGAACTGACATCAGAGATGGAGAAGGAGCTTAAACTAAGAGAATGTGTGTCCAGGAACGAATGAAAGAAGCGTTTTGAAGGGGGGAGTGGTCAACGGTGTCACGTTGCTGACAGATAATAGGTAAAGCAGAATGAAGACTATGAATTGGCATGGGATTCGGCAATAGGGAGGTCATTGTGATTTTAACAGAGTAATATACTTGCAGAGGTGACAAAGAAAGCCCAACTGCAACGGATTCCAAAAAGCAGGTAAGGAGAATTGGAGACAGCAAGTTTGGACAACTCAAGAGTTTTGTCTACAAAGGAGAGTGAAAAATAGAAGAGGGATATTATAGCATGTATGGATATGCATATGCTGTAAGTGGTCCAGTAGAGAAAAGCTGATGATTCAAGAGACAGAGCTAGCAATCCTTCCAACAAACTCACACAAGGTAAACTTGCTGGATTCCACTGGCACAAAGCAACAATTGTCTGGGGAAATAGATTTATCCATGTTACTTTTTCCTGCTTCATATACATGCATACCAAAAAGTTGTCACATATGCATATGCTTTTAATGGAGCCATAATAGAACCATTGAAAAGTAAATGGTTGAAATGGTCTTTGCTTGCTTCCCTCACTTCTGCATTCTTCCTATGAAAGATAATGAACATTCTTGTGGCCCTAAATTTCAGCTAAAAAAATGTTATGTTCTGGGATTAATGAGTGTGTTACTCCTCCTGTTTTATTTTGATTTACTGAAATATTTAGGATGAAAGTATATGACAGATTTGCTTCAAAGTAATTTAGCTGGGGAAAAGGGATGAACTCTTTTTTCCCATGAAGCTGCAGTGATGGGTATATAGCAATTCCCTGTACCATTTTCTCTGCTTCTGTGTGTGTTCCAAAATTTCTATAATATCAAGTTAAAATTTAAAAGAAACATGGTGTCCATAACATGCTTAATTCAAAGATATCCATTTCAGATAATTTGGTAATAGGTGAATATTTGAGGCACAGGAATTTTTCTGGCATTTTCAAATCTTATCAGTTACTTTGCTTTTATATACAGCACAAACTTGTTTTTAATTAGAAAGTGTCTCAGTTGCTTGGAGATAGACTTAATTTGAATGTTTAGTGTGCAAATAATCGGAAGATTGAATTTTCCAAATAAAGGTGTGTTTCTCTTAAATATCCTCTCACTTTAGGTGAGCATAGACAAACCCAAGAACACTTACATGGTGAAATACATTCTGAGATAAAGTTGAGATAAAGTAATAGGACAGTTAAAAAGCAATTGTAATCCACTTGGTTGTTATTTAACATAATAAATAATTGAATATGCACAGAAGGTGAAATTACATTGCAGTAATAGTTACCATGTTTTAAAAGTTTCTGAAATGTGTCATTTACATTGCTGTATATTGCTGCTATTTCTAAAATTTAATTAAATAAGATTATTAACCTTTCAAAACTAGCAAATATAGAAACAGCAGTGTTGTTATATTAAGTCTTCAAATATTAGCCAATAGGTATTCTTTAGTGTTTTTCAGTTACTCATTAACCATTTTTTAGTGTTATTGTTATCCTAACTGTTGGTAATTTCCACTAGGAAGATTTGAATAACAAACTCCAATAAATTTTCTAGATCAGAAGAATATCCAGGTTTTACTAGTAATATCACTCTTGCTCACAATATATTCATTAAAAAAAAGTCCATTATGCACTTGGGACCTATAAATTCCACTTCAAAAACCAAACCCAAAGTTACGCTGCTGTGCAGTTTCTGGTTTCTTTTGTATGGCTTTAATGCCCTCAACATTTCCCTGGTGTAAACTACTGAGCAAGGGAACAAGATTTCCTTTGTAACTGATACCTAAATTTCTATTCTGCTTTAAGCGTCTAATTTGCACTGTGAAGACATATAATTTGAGACTTGTAGCTATATCACGAAAGTACAACAGTTTATGCTGATCTCTAATTTTCTGCGTTGTGCTGGCTGTAATTTAAATTTTTTGCATGTTTTTAACTGCACTGCAAACCAGTATACATGAGAAACCTTTGTATATTGACAGGGACTGGGAAAAGGATGCCTTGTTCTGATTTCGGATGAGCATTCCCTTTTCACAACTGCAGGTGCAAGGGAGCCCATTCATAATATTTGCTTCCAATCTGTTACAGTTACTGGCTGGAAATACAGTGCTATCACATGAGAACTTGACTAATCTTTATAAGCACAATGAATATCCAAAAATTATCACTATCATTAGCAAATTCTAGAGGGAAGTAAGACTCTTTCCATGACTATGTTTTGAGGACATAATACATGCTGTTTGGGTCATTTTACTACTATGTGTGTATGTGTTTACTAAATCTAGAAAAATACTTTGTCACTTATTAGCACAGGATGGAATTAATGCTCAGTGGAAAATCTGCTGTAACAAATGCATGTTCCACTTAAGAGATAATTGATAATGAATGTTACTCTTTCCTTTGTTTTAAGTTTCACTTATTTTTAAATCAACACATAGGCCAAAAAAATAACCACAAGATAAAAATTTACTCTAATTGCTCTCATTTCACATAAATGGGTAGATTTCATTTTGAAACAAATATTAGATAACTGTATATCCAAAATATAAGTGAAGCTGGCTGGATGTTTCCATTATAAACCCTTATGTATAAGGTAATGACTTGACCATTTTAATTAGCTTCAGGCAGAAACCTGCCACACCAGTTCAAAGCATTGGAGAAAATTTTAGTCTACAAAAACAATTATCACTCTCCCTCACCCGGAGAGGTAAGAGAAAGATTCTAATGAACTTAAGGGCTGGATGTCCAAACACAGATAAAGTCAATTAAAACATAAACTGGCAACAATCATTGCGTTGGCAAAAATACCTAAGTATTTGGCATATGTATAAAACAATAAGAACGCATCCCAAATTGATGGTTATTACATGCTATATGTTTTTATTGTTTGCTAGTAACCCAGCAGTATTACCTTACATTTGCAAATAATTGAAAAGTGCCAAAACACGTTTGCAACTTTAATTCATTCAGGCTAATAAACTTGTATGCCGCCATCCTTCTTTCATGGCCCCAGAGGCGGGGGACACCCATTTATCCTCAGCCTTGAATCACATGCAAGCTAGTGGTTAGCTCCACATGCTAGAAAGGTGGGGGTCATCTTTAAGGATACCTTCAAGGAGGATGCCTTCAAAGACGGGGCAGAACCCCTAAACTTGCTTCTGTAAATACGATTGCCCACCCTTCCGAACGTCCATTCTATTACTGCTTCCCCAGCACCCACCAGGCACACGCAGGATCATCACTTGTAATCATCGCTGTCACTCCTGGGAGGAAATGCTTGACACCTGGCCTCCCTCAGATCACATGTAATGGGGGACGCTGCCGCACACCGCCCCCTTCTGAAATCCGAGGGGTAGGTGGAGGGAGGCTGACACCGGGCCACTTACCTGGCCAGGATGCTCTTCGTGACAGCCCAAGACCTTTGAGTTACAAAAGAAAACAAAAGAAAAAAGAAAAAGAAAAACTTACCACTTTGGCCCAGTCCAAGAACAACGGAAAACACCCAGGCCGCCCGGAGAAATGGGGCAGGACCTGGCCGGCAGTTTTGCAGGCAGACAAATGCGGCAGTAAAAAAAGCCAGGGCCGAGCAGCACATAATGCAGAGCAGCCCGCAACGCGCCCGCCTGGGTGCTATCCGGATGCGCGCTCGCGCCTCCCAGGCGCACCTCCGCGCGGGCGGACCAAGTGTCGCTAGGACGTTTTAAGCAGGCCCGGCAGGCGGACCCCGCGGCTCGGAACAAGCGGTGCAGGTACGCCGGCCCGGGCACCGCTAGGCATTTCAGGGCCCCAACGGCCCTCCCAGCTCCGCGCGGCGTGTCTCGAAATCTCAGCGAAAAGCACCTCCTCCGACGGCCAATGGCCCGGGGCGGCGACGCGAGCGGGGCTCCGCAGCCCGCTCTGGGACAAAGAAAAGAGCTTTTGTTTCTCTCCAGCCGACGGGAATTCTGCTGCATAAATCAGCTTAGCGAAGAGCCAAACACAATCAAACCCAAACAAAGCCTGAAGCTGGGGGGAAAAACCAGCCTAATGTACATTCACTGGGTGATGCTGCATTTGTGGGAGGGGACGCCGGTGAGGCCGGAGGGGAAAAAAAGTCGATGGCGCATCAATCAGCGCCAGTTTCTTCCACAGGTGGGCAGGGAAGCCAACTCCACTTAGTTGCGGCTTTGCAGCCCCGTTAGCTGAACAGCGGGCAGAGTCGAAGCAGTAGCGTCCTGGCTGGCGAGGAAGAAAGCTCTGAGTGCCAGCAGCCAGGGGGAGGCAACTCCGGGAGCGCCTTAGAAGCCCGTGCCGGTGCTGGCGGATACAGAGCGAGGCATCGCAGCTTGGCCAGGAGTAGAGCGCACCGCCGCTAGCGAGGGAGGTTCCGCGGGGGTGCAAAGAAGCCCGGCCTCGCGGGGCGGGAGCTTCGTGCCCTGGTTCTTTTGGTCCCAGAGTGCAGTTCAGGCGTTCGGCAGTCCAGAGCTCGGGCTGCTAGTGCGCTCTGGGGCGCACCCCGGGAGTAAGAGAGGTAGGCGAGTTGGTGGAGGGGCGGGGAGGTGTGGTCCGCCCGGGCCCCCGGGTGAGGGGTTGGGGCGGGGGGACTCCCTAAGTGCGGATAGTTAGGCGCACTCAGGGCCATGAGTTGCTAGGAAACAGCCCCACGCTACGGAGCGCCTCGCCTCGGCAGCAGCAGCAACAGCAAAAGCTCGGAGTAGCGTGGGCGGGACATTGATGAAGCATGAAGTCACTGCGGCCCACACTCGTTCTTTGTTTTGCTCACTCCAGCTCCTTTTCTCCCCCTTGGCTCCTATGGTTGCCATTCCCGTAGTTCACAAGATCTCCTGATGTGTACCGGCGCAACAGGAATGGCACTCCTTCTTCCCTTTTCCTCTCCTCCCCGAATTCCTGAACCCCAGCGCTCGCCCAGAGTGTGTAGAGACTCGCTCAGCACGAGTGGTAGCTGCGCGCAAACCCCAGCCTCTCGCCGGGCTCCACACAGTTCTTTGTTTGGAAATACTCACTGCTCGGTAGAAGTGGAGTCTCGGAGCCTCTTCCCACCTCCGACACCCTCTGTCCCTCGGGTGCGCACTGCCCACTTTGCTTGCAGAGTTAGGAGCTCACCCTTTGCCCCACCCCACGACTCCCCAGCACTTGGAGAGTTGGGCCAGTCCACACGGGCTGTCCTCGGAGCTGCAGGCCGAAATTTCTCTCGGTTCCTCCGCTCGGAGGGAGCAACGACCTTGGGCTGGACAGCCCTGTTCTTTGCAGGGTTATCGGAGTGGGTCTTTTGACCTTAATCGTCACCTTCCCAATAAACGGAACAAAGAAGTTACGAAGGGCGGCGAAACGGAAGAGAGAAGCTAGGAAAGGAGGTGAGAGAGCATTTCTGCCTGCTTGCAAATCAGACACTTAGGTGCAAGCAGGGAGCGGGTGTTTTGCTGGGCAACTGTCAGGCAAGCCGCGCGCCTCCTTGGGTCTGGTCACCACCAGACTAAACCGAGGGAGAAAACCCAGCCCCCCGGATTGAAAACTAGGCGCTGTTTTCAATCTGAAACACAGAGTGATGCTTCTCTTTTTCCCCCAGGGGCAGGAGCGGTTCGCCCTGGTATAATCCGACCTCTCGTTTTCCACTAGCAGCCTCCTCCTAACAGGCATCAGACCAGCCCAGCCAGGTCAAGGTGAAATATGCGGGAGTTTCCCTCCTTACTTGCTTGATAGTTTCCATCTCCATATTTGGAGTAAAAAAAACAAGTAGGAGGCTTTCTCTCTCTCTCTCTCTCTTTTTTTCTTTCTGTTTTCTAATTGTTAATGAGTGGAAAGTACCTGATTAATAAACCACAACATTGAAAACTCCCCCTTTTCAGGTGTGGACTGCACGTTGAAGCCCACAGAATTAGTACCTAAGCAAACCAGGAACCCACTTGGAAAATTACAAGTTCCTTGGATCTACAAAGCAGGTTTTTTGTTTGGGGTTTTTTTTTTTTTCCTTTAAACCAACTGAATGATCCAAACCTGAAAAACCAGTACTTACAAACACAATTCCACTACAGGCAATGTCCTGTAAATATGTAGAGTGAAATCCTGCTCGGCTTCATTATTTATTTTCTTTCTTTTGTTCCAAGTTTGAACTAGAGTTTTGCTTTACATGGTCTTTAAGGAAAGGCCTGAAAAGTGGCTGGATGGGAATGGGAACTTGAAATTTGAACACAAAATGAGCATATTCAGACTCTAATTAGTACTCTCCAGTGGTGTAGCATATGTACCAGTATTTCGCAGAGATTATTTCACAGCCCAAAGGAATACAGCCACCCTTGAGGCAGTGCAGTGCTGTAATAAAAAAAAAAAGTCAATACATAATACCTGTAAGGCTGTGTGTAAATGCACTCTATACTGTAAAGAAAGATGTCCACATTCTGTTTTGTGAAGCCAAGGCAAATATATTTCAGGATGCCACTTTTATGGAGTTGTTGAAGAATAAACACAGTGCCATTCATCACCAATTCCCAGTTACAAAGAGGTTATAATTTTGGTTATCAAAATAAAATAAAACAGAATATCCCAGCCACGAGACTATGATCCTTGTAAGTTATTTACAAACAAGTTATCTGTAGATTTTGGCCTATAAAGATAAAAGTGAATTCTCTTGAACCCTGCAAATCATTCATAGGGTTTTCTTACAGTAAATATAATCAGTAGCCTAGGAACAAAAAGTTTATTTCCAATAAGTGTCACTGGTCACCACATGACACTCATTCCTTTTCCCGTAAGAAAATGTACAGCTTATTGTGAAGAAATGTGACATGATCTTCCTCATTTACCTGAAGAATTTTTAAATTTATTTTTTACTTGAAGAATTCTAACAGAGAAAAAAATGTTCCAGATTAATTCCTGTCTTTATCATGTTCTGCTGTTTTACTTTGAAATTTCTGACTACTAATTTTTCATCATTTGTGGTAATAAGAGCAAGTGAAATTCACAGATAGTGTGAAAATAACATTTCAGCTATTCATTCTAGCCTTACTATCATCAGATTCTTTTAGTTGGTAAAAAGTCATAACATTAGACAAATTGCATTTTTTTCTGGTTCTTTACCCTTGTTTTCTCACTCGGTTGGTGGTGAGAAACAAGTGATAGATGGAGTGCAGGAATGTTCCTTTTAGTGTGTATTCAGCCTTTTAACAGGCTTTTGTCAAATCACTGCCCTCATAGGTACAGCTAAAACCATATTTACATTTTGCATAACAGATGACTCTCAAATTATGATAGGGTTATGTCCTGATAAAACCATTGTAAGTTGAAAATACCATGTCAAAAATGCATTTCATACACCTCACCTACTGAACATCCTAGTTTAGCCTGGCCTATTTTAAGCATGCTCAGAACACTTCCAGTAGCTGACAGTTGGGCAAAATCACCTAACACAATGAATGCACTGTAGAGGAGCGGTCATTTGCCCTTGCCATCGCATGGCTGATCCCAGGCTATGGCTAGCTGCTGCTGCCCAGCATCATGAGAGTGTACATACCGCATATCCCTAGCCAAGGGAAGATCAACATTACAAATTCCAAGTATGGTTTCTACTGGATTCACACTACTTTCACACCATTGTAAAGTTAAAAAATTGTAAGTCACACCATCGTAAGTTGGGACCACCTGTATCAGAAATATCAGAAATTGGTATTAGAGGTAGTATCACATAAATTAATAGGCCTTAAGCAGATGTCCACAAGTTGTCTATAAGCTTGCTTCATCAACAGCTCTTAAGATATGATCAGCCAGCCCAGTAATACAACCAGCCCAGCTGGTGGGTTGTATTACTTTGACTATGGCTTCAAGCTTCTTCCAATAATAAAGCTCATAAGCAAGCCACTGAAAGTTACTTTTCACTGAAATATTATGTAAGTTAGTGTTCCTCATACTGTGGACTGACCCTGTCTCCAATATAATCACCTGCAGAGTGATTCCTTAGGTGTATTCCAGGAGATTCTGAATTCATGGAGCTGGTGCGGTGCGAAGGAATATGCATTATTACGAGTTCTCAGATGGTTTGTTATGCGCTGAGGTTTAATAACCCCCACCATAACGGATTAACACAGATTCCTGAAAGAGCTCACGTGTGATTATTGACAAACTCCAGCATCAGATGCAACGTCAAAGAAAAAGGAAATGCTTGAGTCAATGTTTCTTCCCAGGTTATCCTGTGGATGATTAACTCTATGAGATGTTACTGCTCTAAGCCACAAGACTTCCATAATTAAGTATGGGAAATACTGGGTTAAAGTTAAGCTAAATTCTTTAGTGGTGGATTTTCCAGAAACTTGAGTAGGCCAAACACACTAGACTCTCCAAAGAAGAACCTTTTATTCAGGGAACATTTCACAGGCTAATTTTCCAGAAAGCACACTGATGAGACTTAATCCTACTTTACAAAGGTGGAAACTGAGAACCAGGTTGGTGAGGAGACTGACCTCATTTGAAGAGAATTATTGAGCAGACAAGAATCAAAGCTCTGATTCTTCTGTACCACCTCATATCAATGATGGCTTTTGGTTTCAAGTAACATTCCAACTATGGCTGCCATGTAAGAAAGGAAGAGAGAAAGAGAAAGAGAGAGAGAAATCATTGGAAGGAAATTGGGAACTTACAGAATCAGCAGGGGCTGAGAAACCAGGATTGAATGGGGCAGAAATCAAGGGAGGAGGTGTAAGCAGTGTTAGTAGTCTGGAAAGAAGAATGCTTTCTAATCATCCCTTCATTTCTGGACAACTCGTTCAAGATTCAGAATCTTGGTTGGGAATGTCTAATTTTCAGAACTTTTGTCACATATCAGTTCTTCTGGCTTTCTGAAGGCGGAGGGTAGGGAGGAGGGTCTCTTGCCTTTGGCTTTCTCAATGCAAAATCTAATACTGTTTCCCAACAAGATGAAGGGAGCTCTGAAAAGTGACAAATGTTCATTACTCAATATCCCGATTTCCACGTACTACAGCTTTTCATTACAGTTGACTTTTGGGCAATGATGAAGCTTTAATTAGCTACCCTGCCCACTAACCAATACTTTGGTTGGCAGTATTAGTTATCATCACAGATACTTTTGAACGCAACGTTTTACTTGTGTATAGTTTCATCCTAGCTTTGCGTTAACCCTCCGTAGTATACAGCAAACTAATGCTCATTTAGCCTTTAACTCATCATCAGAATTTTAGAGATGTGGTGTTAGAATTAACTTTTTAAGTTTGTGAAATTCTTTACTGACCAAGTCTGCAGCAGATGTTTTGCTGACCTTCCTGTGTCCTTCCAGGCGCCCTGCTCCGTTCCATCCAGCCAGGTGTACTGGGGAATGAAACTTCTCAACCACGGGCTGACCTGATGGGAAGTGATGGATAAAGACCCCAGCTCTCTTGCTCCTTGAATGGAATCCCTTTGTGTTCTTCACTAGTGCTTCTCAAACTATTGTTAGACCAGTTTTTTTTTATTTCAGTCCATCATGGATTGGTACTTTAAAACTGAGTTATTAAAAAAAGAGTGTCATAAAAGTACCGAATTGTTATAAAAGTTTCTAAATACTTACTTTAACTTTCTATGCATTCTTTATACTGAACCAGTCCCAAACAGTTCAAGGACAGGTGCTATATTACACACCACAGTGTGAGTAATATTGAGCACTTTTTCCTCTGGTTCCCTAAAGGGGAACAGTGATCCCCTTTATCACCACAGTGATAACAGTATTCAAACACATCCTTCACTGGCCGCCTTTCCCTCCCCCATTTCCCGACTGCTTCCTGGTATTTCCTGGTCCCAGTGCCCTCTTCTGGAGGAACCTAAACTAAAACAAGTAATTAATGAGCCCAGAAAGTACTCTCTTGGTGTCTTCCATGTGTGAATTCCAATTTTATTCTTGTCTAGATGTAAGGCAACCCACAGAATAAAAAAGTACTAAGGCTTTGGAGTCTCAAAAATGCTAAGTCTGGATCTACTACTTCGTAGCTGGAGAACCACGGGCAAGTTATTTCACTTTCCTGCACCTCATTTTATTTATTTATGTAATGCTGAAATTAAAATAACCACCGAAATTGCAAATTAAACACCAAGATGGCACCGCACTTCTATTAGAATGGCCAAAATCTAAAACATTGACAATACCAGATGCTGGTGGGGATGCAAAATTTTGTAGCCACTTGGGAAGTCTTCGATGGTTTCTTATAAAACTGAACATTCTTTATATATAGTCCAGCAATTGTTATCCTTGGTGTTTACCCAAAGGAGTTGAAAACTTATATGCACAAAAAACCTGCACATTGTCAAAACTTGGAAGCAAGCAAAATGCCCTTCCATAGGTGAATGGATACATAAACTTTGGGAAACTGAAATGCATATTGCTAAGAAAAATAACCCTATGTGAAAAGGCTACACATTCTATGATTCCAATTACATGACATTCTGGAAAACTCAAAAGTATATAGACATTCAAAAATAATGGTTGCTAGGGTAAAAAGAGAGGGAAGGGTAAGTCAGTGGGGCACAGGGGATTTTTAGGGCAGTGGAACTGCTCTGTAAAACTACAGTGGTAGATAAACCTGTCGCTGTACATTTGTCAAACCCACAGAATGTATAACATCAGAGTGAACTCTAATGCATATATGGCCTTTGAGTGAGAATGACGTGTCAGTATCGGCTCATTCATTGTTACAAGTGGACTGTTTGTATGGGATGTTGACAGTGGGGAACCCTTTGTGGGGGGGAGTAGGAGGCATATGGGAATTCTCTGTACTTTCCAAGCAATTTTGCTGTGAACCTAAAACTACCCTAAAAAATAGAGTCTATAAAACACATACACATGCAACTACCAAAGAAGATTATTGTGAGAATCAAAGTAGGGGTCATGAATGAAACATTTTAGAATTCACCATATACTATCCCAAGGGTTTTTGCAATGCTAATTTAGATTATTTAAATTTCACAATATAAACACCATTGAAAATGCATAAATACTTATTTCAAGATTTCCATATTGTCATAAAAATAACATCAAATATCTTTGCTTTGCTTTACACATAACTTTCCTTTTCTGGTAACTATACAATTCTTTACCCACATTAATAGATATAGTGAGCATGTCTTTATATAGAAGCCTGTAAGCTAGAATTCTTTTTGACAGTCTAGTTTTATATTTCTGTAATCTAACAAAATTGTTCCAGTCTTTTCAGCCTGAAGTCATCCTTGTACACTTTGATATGAAACTACATGAAAGCTTCACTAATTTGTACATGACAGGGACACCATACTTCACACTGCCTTTTATTTACAATTTAACATGTTTAAACTTACATGTAGTCTGGAGAGTAAGTATATAATGCATTTTAAATATTATTTTATTGTTTTATTAAATGTTATTGCTTTATTACTCTAAATGTACAGCAGTGTTAAGGAGCCATGGCTGGTTCTCCCAAGTAAAGGAATCAGCAGGCATTATAAAGACAACATTTCACTATTGACACAGTTCATCTGTTGAGCCACTGTGGTATGTGGACTGATTTGCACATCATTATACAGCTAAAGGTCTTTGTGAACTTCAATAACTCACAGTGAGCCCACGACTAACATTCCCCCTTTCAGCATTTTCTCATGATCACATTGCCTCTGGAGAATGAAGTCACTACAAAATTTAAATTATTCTAATCAAATTCACATGGTATTTTTATACTTGGAATGCTTCCATTCTCAGCCCCCTTCTCTGATTTCAAAATTACTTCATGTTTCACCTTGAAGAATGTGATCTTTTAACATAGTGAGGAAATTCTTTGTAAATTAGGCATAGGATATTCAATTTAAACATTCATTTAATAAATATGTAAATATTTATTGAACATTTAGTATGTATAAAGTGATAAGTCCTATGGAAAAATACAAGCATCAGTAAAAATCATTTTTTAGATATTATCTCACTTGGAAATAATATGTAATAATAAGAAAAATGACCGAGTTGGTAAGTAGAATAGCTCAGAAATATATCTTGATATGAAAAGTAATTTAATACAACACAAAATATGTTTTGGAATCAATGGAACAGGAGTAAATAATTTAATAAATAGTGTTGGGACAATTTTTAGCTATTTGGAAAAGACATTAATTTAGAAATGTACTTTATACCAAAATATATTCATGATGGATTGAAAAGCTTAGTGTAAAACTGCAAAATTATACATATAATTTTTCCCAGTATTAGTAATACAAGTTTTATCTAAATGTAAAAATTATTTATCTGATTTCAAAGAACAAATCAACAAATCTGATGATTTCTTTAAAACTTAGGTGTTATAAATATTTTAGAAGCAAATAAAATACATGCCATAGAATATGTTCCTACAACTAAATCTGAAAAAATGTACAGTAAATAAAATAGGCAAAAAGCATCAACATATGATTCAAGGATAAGTAATACAAATGCTTAAAAGCTGGGAAAAGTTTAACTTCATCAGTTATTAAAAATACTAATTTTAAGACTGAGATGACCAATTTATCTATTAAATGCTCATAGATTTTTCAAAATGACAATACTTAATGCTAAAAATAGATGGTTGAAATAGGAACTCATTTATAGTAGAATAGTAGGCTGGCTCAAACTTTCAATCAGTTGAGAACATGTAATATAATCTTTAAAGTGTTTGAATCATTAATGTCGTGTCTGTGAAGTTTGTCCTCAAAAGATTCAGAAATATAAGAAAATTGTTATAAAGATGCACATTTCAGTATGGTATACAGTTACAACAAAACTGCAAATGATATTTTCAGTCATTCAAAACCTTTTCAAGCTAAAGTAGCAGAGAAGATTATTAAGTGTTTTTATGTGTCCTAGGTACTACTGTTCTCTCTTAGGGTTGTACGCTGCCTAACCCCTGTCTTTCATTAGTTCCACTCATCCCACTTCAGTGCAGTGTCTGCAGTCTTTTCCTTTCTATTTAATGTGTTTACTGCCTTAGTTCAGACTTTTTCTTTTCTTGAAATCCCAGCCATGTCATCCCCACATTGCTATGAGAGTTTTTCTTCTGAAACACAAATCTACACTTATGCTTAAAAAAGCGCTTTTTATGGTTTATCTTGTGCCATTCCCCAATCCTTCTCCTGGCCTTGAAAGAGATCCTTAGCATCCACTCTGAAACCTTGAACATTCTGGCTCTCCATCGCATCCCCAGCACCATTTTTCACCATATCTTCCTTCCCTCTAGCCAGCTCCATCTACCCTCTGCTCTGCAGAACAGAATCCTGATTTTCCACATGCACTCTCATTTCCCTTTTTGTAGGCTTCATCCTCAGCTGGGCATGACTTCTTCCCTCTTTCATTCTTATCTGTCCTACTTGATTGTCAAGAATCAGTTCTAATGATAACATCTGTAAAAGCTTTCTGAATTTCTCTAGGCATAATCTACAATGACTTGCACTTTTAAGTTATCTTTAAATTAAAACGTTTTCATTAAAAAAGTAATGAGTTTTGCCCTGGCCGGTGTGGCTCAGTTGGTGGTCACAGATTCAATTACCAGTCAGGGTCCATGCCTGGGTTGCGGGTTCAGTCCCCAGTTGGGCTGCGTGGGAGAGGCAACCAACTGATGTTTCTCTCTCACACTGATGTTTCTCTTCCTCTCTCTCTCCCTCCGTTCCCCTCTCTCTAAAATCAATAAGCATGTCCTCACATGAGGCTAAAACAATATAATGTGTTTTTATTACAGACAATTTGAAGCACATATTACATTTTCATGGTGGATTTTATTTGCTTTATTTTTATGTAGCTTTGTTCATACTGTATTCACCACTTTTGTTAATATACATGGTGGGGCAAAAGCAGGTTTACAGTTGTGAGTACATGAAATAGTTCATTCTTGTATTACTATTTATTAATTATTGTATTATTTTCCATATGAACAACAGCTTCTCTTCCATTAAAACACTTTACTTTTATGAAATTAGACCCTGACCAGTTGTCTATAGGTCCTGAAACTATATAATAATATGGCCGTCTATTATTATTGACAGGACACTGAAGACAGTATTAGATGCTTAAGCAAAGATATACCTACAGTTGGGCGACATCGGATTTTATTATTTACCTGAAGTGTTCAGTATGACATTAGGCCTAGCACATTTAAGAAACTATTTAGAAATACTCTTGAGAGTATTAGAAGGATAAAAGATAACAAAAGTTTGAAGAGCTTAAAGGTTCACCTTAAATATTTTACCCAGATATCAAATAATATATCTCTAGAGAAGTGAGAGAAATAACGGCTTTAAGCATAATTGCTGTATGACCTTCCCCCATGAAGGGCATGTTGGAAGCCAGACCTCAGCACGTGATCAAGCGGGAGACATCTTCTGAGACACTGACATGAGAAGAGGACGACAGTGGTCAGAGAGTCGCCCGAGAGAGTGAGACTTCTACATTTCTCAGGGTAGATTGACGTATCCTGCCATGCTTCATATTTTAGTAACAGAAGTATGGAAACTTTTGTTTGGTATTATAACATAAGCCATATTGGTAAGATGGCTTAACTTTTCAACAGCTTGCCTGGGAGTAGGAATTGATATTTAAGATGTCAGTCTAAAGGGAAATAGAATCAATTAAATTTTAGGAATTAAGGCTTGTATAATACAAATGAAACATTGAATACTAGAGAGATAAAGTAACAGAGTTGCTCAAGCATTTATTGACAACCACTATCAATTAGATTTGACAGTTATATTTTATGTTTTATTCATTAAGTACATCTTATGTGTCAGGCACTGTACTAAGCACTTTTTATTTATATATATTTTTATCCTCACTTGAAGACTTTTTTTCATTAGTGTAAGAAAGAGGGGAAGGGAAAGAGGAATGGAGAGACAGAAACATTGATGTGAGACAAAAACATTTATTGGTTGCCC